TAAATAGGTTCAGCCGTTCTTGAGTTATAAGTGGAGTAACTAACACGACTTTCTTTTATATATATATAGATATTAACTGACAAAAGTGTTTTCAACTAGCAAAAATTTATTTCCGCTCCCAGACCCGAACGCAGACTCAACATGCCGACACCCATACCGCAAATGCAATGAAACACCATATAGTAACAACTTCTGTAAGAGCAAGAAGTAATATTATTCGGAACCGTTAAGGATATCATGGTAAAAGAAAAACTAAGTTGGTCCCATGGGAAGTGTCTATAAAATGAATGGATGAAAACCAGAACGGTATAAGTGACATTTCATAAATTCTGAGAAATCTGTTTAAGACAATATTACTTTATATTCGTGGTGCTTTGTTTCATTATTAAAACCACGGAATTTCAATTGATCATTAAAATCATGAAAATACATTGCCACTGAAATATAATCCTCCTAATTTTTCCTAAAATATACTTTTTTTCTTACAATTTATAGAATGACACATACCGTTCTGGTTTTCACCCACTCATTTATTTAAATTCACGCGAGAACGTGACAAATGACAACACAATCGCGAGCAAAATGCCGTCGTATTTATAACCTCAATCTTTAGAGGCGCAATGACCCTTTGCTCCGCGTAAGCAACGACACAAGCGACTCCGACCTCGGGTCTTCGTGATTAACATAAACCATCCTTGAAGCTGCCGAATTCATAATTTCCATGCATTTTGTTTAAATTTTTGCAGAACTATTTCACCTTCACATTTTCACTTTTTCGCTACGCGATCGAAATTAGATGAGGAGGCTTTTGCCTTAAATCTACGAGATTAAAATAAAACTTCGTAGACCCTCTACACTGTATAAAATTCACTCGAAGTACGTAAAGTAAATGCCATTGTCATTCCAACTATGACCACAGAATACCCTCCTTCCTTGTCCTTTCGTTCATCGATTTCGCGACATCAGAATCGACTCTTTACAACACATCTTTTCAGCAAAATATTGGTGAACCCGTTTATGAAAACAATTGTTTCAGTCAATTGCGGTTGGTGCCCCTCCCTCCCAAAAAGGCGGTTACAGTTCCACTGAAGGACGGGAAAGAGAAATTAAATAAATGATTTATTTAGTTCAACTTTCGTACTGGGAGCGCCTAAGTATGCTAACGGCAAACTTTTTATACGAGTTAAAGATGCTTAATGTTTCTTCTTCAACCTTTAAATAAACATCTAATAGAAAACATTCGTCATGATTTTCGTTATTCTTTAAACCCATTTCTCGCCCACGTATTTTCATCTCCAAACAATATACAGGGAAAACCAAACAAAGCTGTCTTGAAATCACACCACTTGATATTACTAAAAAAATCATCTTCGAATTTTCGTTTAAATGCTCTCCGAGATCAAATTTTGAAACAAAATTTGAAGAATTGATGTGTTTTTTCACGGCCCTCAAGAACTTTGTCACCTTACAGATGTAAGAAGAGGAAGTATGGTAATTGTGCCCCAAAAAGGGCAAATTTTCAACAGAAAAACTCTTATTGTCGGGCCCTGGTAACGAAAAAAAAATGATAAATTATATGTATATAGTATACATAGTATGTGTACTATATATATAGTTGTGTATATACTATGTATTACTATATACAGTAAATTACCCCCTCTAATAGTGGTGTAGCCAGAATCCATGTACATCGAAAAACCGTATACCGAAAGACCTGATGTACGGCGTCCACGGCTCGAGTTCATGACTTCTTGGCTGTCCGGGTGACGCCGCGTCGTTGGCTGAGAGGCCGATGTTTCGTCCGTCATATCGCAGGCTTCTCCAGAGTAATGACAACCCTGAAGAATCCCGCGATATCACAGACGAAACGTCGTTCTCTCAGCCAACGACGTGGCGTTGCCCGGACAGCCAAGACGTCACGAAAGACCTGATACCGAAAAATCGATTGACGTCAAACCCTTTGTCTGTCAATTCGTCGTCTGTGGTCAACGCTAGTGTCTAAGCCGTTCGTTAAGTTTCTCAAAAGTGGCTCCAAAATGTTTTGAGTAAGACTTGTCCTCGCACAGCGTAGAAGGCTCTTAAAATAATGGGGCAGATCTTATGTTCGTAGAAACTACTGATTTTTCGAAAATTGCATTTTTTTCGGGGCGTCTTAATGTATCTATAATATTGACGATAGGGATTTTTTTCATAATGAAATTTGTTCTTTAAAAACAGACCTTGAAATACGTTCAGGTTCAATATTTTGAAAACATGAATTGTTTTCCTGTAATTTTCCGCGAAATAAGGACAATATTTATTGCGCGTTTCCGTCGAACTTAGGTGATGATAACATTAATGTTATTGGACTTTATATATAAAGTGTGTTTTAAAAACGTGTGTGACGTACTAGAAGGAGAATAGCACGTTTTCTTGAGCTCAAAATTATATATACTCAATTCACAATTTTTAAGTTTTTTTGAGGTTGAATATATAAATAGAATCAATGTAAATTCCTGTCAGTCCAGAGAAGATGGAAAACGAACTGGCGATGAGGTTAAAAAATAAGTTAGCTTATGCTTCAATAAGTACATGAAAGCGAAGTTGATAATAATAATAATAAATAATAATAAATAATAATAATAATAATAATAATAATAATAATAATAATAATAATAATAATAATAATTAATATTGTTCCTTTGACTGCATCTGAACAGTAAAAGTAACTTTTCTCTCAAATCTTCATTTACGTACGATTTTAACTTCAGTTGCGTTAAACAGAGATATGAAATATAAAGTGTTTCTTATAATGTGTCACTGTTTATGAATAATTTCCACAGAGTACATCATTGATTTGTGGTCTCTGCTCCTTCCAATTTGCCTTTTTTCACTCCTCTTCGTTATCTCACTGTTATTCGCCTTCTTTTCGTGTTCTATTATCTTTTTAGACTCCGTCTCATTCATTTCATTTGTTTTGTAATAACGTTTGTCTTCTTTTCCTTAATCGGATATTCACGAATTCTCTCTACCCTAACTTGCAAGAATTTATAAGAGACATTTATTTTGGTATACGAATATTGATCGAAAGAAAGAATTACAAACAACATCAGAATATTGAATAAACGTCATAAAGCAACGTCGAACGCTTAGCCGTCGTGCGCATGCTAATTGCTCTATTGACTTTTGTTGCTACGCTTTCCTAAAATTGCTATTAGGGAACTTGCAAGACGTGATCGGCCAAGATTTTCCATATCCTACATTACAAACATTTAAAATATTACTTCACTTACCTCCGAATACGATTTCTCTATTGCTGATCTCTTCAGAGTGAAATTCCTGAAAATTGAAATGCGCATGATAAAACATTGAAAATTTAAGAGTGGTTTTAATTTTAATTAATATAATAAACAGAAAATATTCCAGTTTAGTTGCAACAAATTTGACTGTTTCTACGGAAACTACTTTAATTAGACTACTTTATCGTAATTTTTATTCGTGGATGTTTGACTGAACTTTTAGAGTAGTTAAAATTCATTAAGTCTTGATCAGTCGGTCGAGCGGGCGGCCAACGTAATCCGGTCAACAAACTACTTTTTAAGTGTTATTAATCTGTGCCACTTTGAAATTTGGCAGATAATTACATTTCTGTAAAAACACTCAAGTATTTTTAAAATTAATTTAGGTGTCGGCGTAATGTGAAAATTCACATTTTAAAAGTAAAAATATATTCTAAATACTGAAATAATTTGTTAACACAAATTATTTGTGTTGATTTGTTAACACAAATTATTTGTGTTGATTAGTTAACACAAATTATTTGTGTTGATTAGTTAACACAAATGATTTAAGTATTATTATTATTATTATTATTATTATTATTTTGTTAACATAAATTATAATCACATCATATGAAAGTATTTTTTAGGTTTAATTTAAAAGTAGTTGTATTTTTCCATAGAAAAAGGTAGATACATGAAAAATGTTTAAACATTTGCACAAGTACGATTCTTCCGAATAAACAGTATAATTTCTTAAAGGAATGGGATTAGAGAACAAAGAAAAAAATACGTGTCACCTATTTTCATCCCTAGAACCCTTAAAAAAGTTCCAAGTTGCCAAAAAGTAGTGATGTTTCATGAGTGTGCAACTTGACGTGGAATGACCCAAGTGTACGTAAGGATTGAGGACAGGACAAGGAAGAGAAAGGAAATATTGCGCACGGTTCGTTTGTTAGTGTACTGCTACGCCATTCGGCTGGTATCGATCGGAGAATCCGCGGGAAACAATCGATCAGAGCCGCCGGCCGCTAAAAGTCTTCTCCAAACAGTGGATGAATTACACTTAGCTGCGCAAAATAGTCAGAGCCACCGGTGGAATTCGCACTCGAGGACGTCTCGGAGGAGGCACTGCAGCGTCATCAGTTGAGCCATCTCAACCGGTCATAATGAATTTGTTTATTTTAAAGAAACCACGGGGCTTGAATAATAGCTCGGAGGCACATGTTCTCAACAGTTTGTATTCGATTGTTTTATGCCAATTGCAACATCGGGCAGGCATAAGAAATTATAGGCTGAATCATTATCTAATGTATGTGCAATTTATAAGAGAAGTCGAGTATTTAACTAGAGAGAGTACCGGATGATTTTGTTCGTTTGCTAAGGATAATTTATTGGTTACATTATATCGCCAATAGAGCTTCCAGTTAAAACTCCCAAGAATGACATTGATTCGGTTAATGAAAGCATTTTTATTGGTTTATTTTGTTATGTAAGATGAGGCAAATCTAATTATTTATGTACGTAACAAAAAAGTTCGTAGGGCATATTTGGCATTTAATTCGATATCCCTGTTTTTAGCACATATGTCTATCAGGTTCACATGATTTGGAAGCAAAAACATTGCATTTACAAGATTACTATCAGTACTGTATAAAACAGTTAACTGCGCGGAATGTTAATGAAATGTCGTTTGTTGAAGGAAAATCTGAAATACGTGGGAAAGGCTCGGAGAAGAACAGCTATTCTGAGGTACGAAAAAAAAAAAACTGGAACTGAAATGTCTTTTAAACGGATGGAAACGGTACAATTATTTTACAAAATATAAATTAAATCGTATAGAAATTGATGAATCCTAAAAGAAACTGTGTACATTAGACCTGGGTGACACTCTCAAAAGTATTTTCAATGTCGAAGAAAACTGCAATAATGTAGGAATTTATGAAATGCAAGAAGGGTGCCTTCAGTTAGTGTGACAAACTCTATCAAAAGCATTTTCAATGTCGAGGAAAACTGCAATAATGTAGGAATTTATGAAATGCAAGAAGGGTGTCTTCAATTAGTGTGGATATTTGACGATCGGTAGAGAGGAGGGAACGAAAGTGAAATTAGAAGTGAGAAGTAGTATTTATAGAAATTGAAAAAAATATAGTCTATGTAAAGTACATCGTTCAAAAATGTTCCCATAAGATGGAAGAAAACCAATTGGAAGGCTTTTTTGGTGGTTCTCCAGGTTTGAGAAATGGAATAATGAGCGCGTGTTTCTATAATTTATCGATAATATATTGAACGATGGCATGCGCTCGTTAATACTGTATATCGGATTATAATTGAAAATTAAAATTGTTTAACTAAGGAGAAAGACAGAAAGACCAAAAAGATAACTTGGATTTCAAATTAATTATATACTAATTACACAAATTAATTATATACTGGGAAAGGTGAAATAAGAGAAATGGCATGAAGGATAGTTGGAACCTCTGTAGAAATACAACTTTGAAGTAATCAATCATGATCATTATTAAGGGATAGTTGAGGATTAAACATATTTGATAAACTGTCATAAAATTACATTTTTTCTTCCGAGGAAGTACATAGACCTACTTATTTTGAATTGAATTGATGATTTATTTTACGCGGCGAGACCCGGGCCAACAGGCTCGCTCTTTCGTCTGACCACGCAAATTTCACTACGCTCCTTTCACCCACTAGCGAAGAAAGGAGGTATTTCTTGGGCGATGAAACAGGCACTTTGAATTAAGCACAGAGGCATCATTTAGGCTTGAGTATTTTTACATGCAAGTAAATCTACTAATATGGGATAGCCGGCTTTACTTTCCCTCCGAAGGATTTTTTCGCCCTTAAAAATCCACGGGTTTGAACCCGCCGACTTGGGGTATAGTAACAGTCCGATACGCTAACCGTTACGTCATCGCCGCCGACAATTTTGTGCATCTAAAGATTGAATTATCGTTTTCTTAGATTGATTGAGGATTAAAGGGCGCTTAAACAATAGTGCACTTTTGCATACATGACAGAATTTAAAACCGTAATACAAATTATAAAAAATCCATTGCGGATACAATTATCACACTAGATAAAAGTACACACACACACACACACACACACACATAGCCGCCATTTCACCCAGGAGAGATGTTACCCGCCGCGCCACCAATTATTATTATTATTATTATTATTATTATTATTATTATTATTATTATTATTATTATTGTTATATTAATTTGTAGTTAATTTTGAAACTAAGCAATTGGCATAGTATTGTTGCAGGTCTCAAAGTGTTCTGAACAGTTCTGAGGAAACCTGACGTTGCTCGAGTGTGGTGGCGTTGTGTGTGTCTGTGATATGTCACCAGATTGTGTGAGGAAAACATAGGAATAAGTCAGTGGAGAGTTGCATGTGATTTATCCAGTAACGGTGACTCCAAAGAGCAGACTAAAAATCTTGTGATATCTGTCAAGATTTGCTTTCATAAATGTTAAATGTTCCGTGTTAACGTTTGTATTTTCTATTTATATTTAAATGAAGGTAATTATTAGTTGTTTTTTGATGCTTAGAATGAGAAAAATCTTTAAAAATGGAAAAAAACACTGAAAACTCATGAGAGAGTTCTAAACCGACGTAACGATATCTCGAAATATTATGCGATTGCTCGCGCGCGAAACTAGGTGTTACAGCAGCACATACTTTCTTGCATTATTGGAAAACGTTACGTAATATTGCAATATTACAATTTTATCACTATTAAACACCTCAGCTAGTACTTGAAAACGTCCAATTCAACCCACTTAAACAAAGCACCTATGGTGCTTATCGGCATTCATTTGGTTGTTAGGAACAGCAATCAATTCTTACATTTACAAATGAAACAAGCAGGAATAAATTTAACTGTTGCAGTATTTGCAGAACATTGAACTGAAAAGCGAGAATAATTTCAGGCAAGTTTCAGGGCTGTTCTCAGCGCGGCGTTGTTAAAACAATGGGCGATTTCTTTGACATACATTCCTGGCGGATATTTTATTCGTTCTTGCCAGAAATGATCGTTTCCATCTCGATTCAGAATTCAACATGTTTATAGGTTAAAGTACCGATCCAAGAATTTAAGAAAACTCACAGAATACACTTCACCTCAGAGTACGACATACACAGTTTTAACTATTAATTAAAAAATGTTCAAACATGCATTGTGCATGAATTTCTCGACAAACAAAAACACACAACAAAACTCACAAACGTGCACGGAAAAAGTATGCACTTTTAAAATGAGCTTGCCAAGTAAGATTTAATTACAAAGTTTACAAGCTTTACGAAGCATAAATAAAAGTATGAAGCGCGGAAAATTCCAATTTTCCAGTTTTCGAAAATGCAGGATGTGTGGCGAAAATGGGACCAGCACCACTTCTTTACTGTTCTTTGCTACACACGTGAAAAAATTAAAGAAGAAACTGGGTCTTTTACTAACAAATTAATTGATTAAAATGTAAAAATTGACTAATTTTGTCGCAAAATTACCAAAAAATACTCATGTTTTTGAAAAGTTGAACATGACCTTAATTGAAGTTTCTGATGAACTCATTTCATTAAAAAAATTATCTTTATAATTGTAATTATACGAAGACGCCCGAAACAATACAATTTTTGAAATAATTGCAGGCAACCAAAGAGTGTGATATGTAATATAAAACAAACTTGCTAGCTATATTAATAAAATAGAATAAAAAACTAAAATAACTTCCATCAATTCATTTTTAAATTGTGAATTATTACACAATATTGAAATATAAGGTTATAAATTGGAATCTGTGATAATGTAACAAGAACTGCAGAATATTTTCAAATAAAGAAAGAAAATACTACATGAAGCAAAAAGTTTACATTCCAGAATTACATATAAAGCACAAAAATATGCGTTAAGGTAAAATTAATTAATTTTATACCAATTGTAATGTAATTTATTTTACGTACAAATCTGAATATGCTGCATATTATTTTAAACAGAATTAACATTCGGTCTTAATTTCTTAATTTTATAATCGTTTT